AGAGAGAGAGAGAGAGAGAGAGAGAGAGAGAGAGAGAGAGAGAGAGAGAGAGAGAGAGAGTGTTAATCGACCGCTACCTGTGTCGGTGGGCGTTGGCGTGCATGCGGCGGCTTGTCTGGCGCACTTTAGTTTACTGTACTTTCGCATTGCGCCGCACTTAGGAGGTTTTCGCCGCGTGGGGCTTATGGCGATGGCACAGTCCATCTCGTTGGCGGCGGGGGTTTCGTGATGCGTGTGTGGTTGTAGGTCTTTGCGACGATTTGCAGTGTGGTGCCACCGTCAGTGACGGGTGTGAGTGACGGAGTCCATTTCCGGGTGTGTGTGTGTTTTTTTTTAGGCTGGTTGGAATCGAAGTTGCCTTCAAGGCCTGTTACATCGTAACTGTGACGTGTTGTGTTATTGCCGGGAGTGACAGTATTAAGACAACATATCTTGTAATCTTTTTTTTGATGTCGTGGAGGTTGTTCTCCGTGTTCGTGACGAATGACAAGTATTTTGTTAAAGAGAGAGACGCTGTGTGTGTGTCATTTTTATTGCCTTCATCTGTGCTCGCATTTGGAATGGGTTGTGTGAAAATCCATCAATCTGTGATAAAGCATTTGTTGAATCATACATCCGTCACCACTTTCCATATCGGTGCAGCCCTGACAATCGTGAATGCAAATGAAAAGGAAACGCAAAGGAGTCGACATGAAGCTGTAGACATCATCAATAACGAAAGACACAAGAAACGACAACATCGTCGAGACATCATGAAAAGCAACGAACACAAGAAGCGACAACCTCCTGAAGTAGGGCCGTCATGAATACCAATGACAGGTGTCACATGTTGGTTGTTACAGACGCGAACATCGATTTGTTAAGACCCGCAACAGATTAAAGAAAAAAAAAAAAAAAAAGTAAACCATGACAAAAACATACAATAATTACACACCGATGGACGCCCAATCGGGAACATAAATTGGAGGGTCGATCAAAGTGATGGGGGGACTCGCCAACTTGTCGGTGATGACGGTCGCAGCTTGCACGATGTGTCGACGTGCGTCAAAGCAGCGATGCATGGATGCGACGAGCGTCGGCTTCGCCGTGAGTTGGACGAAGACCCAGGTGTCGTAATGCGCACGATGATCGTCACCCGCCATCCGCATGAGCCACATGGTCGCCGCGCGCATCATCTGCATCGCATCGGCCATGGTCTTCAACCTTTCGTGCGATACACGGTCGCCGTCCATCGCCTCCACAATGATCACGGCGCTCGTGAAAGCCCCCACCAGTCGCTGGATGCTCACCTCCTGATAAGCCGCCAAGCCGTCGTCCTCGTGCCTGTCTTCGACGTCGGCGCCCACGAACCACAAAGGCAACTTCATATCCATGTCGAGCGTGTGGTGGACGACCATCGGGCTCACACAATAACGCCAGTCCTCCCCCATCCACATCGCGCGAGCGATGTCGATGGCTGCGTGGTTGAGTGCATACTGGTACGCCGCGTGGTACCCCCTTTGCCTGTTCTGAGACTTGAAGACCCACCCGTGTATCACCCGCAAAGCGATCCCCTGAACCTTCACCGCCCTCTCCTTCGCAGCGTTTAACTCTGACTCGTCCGCGATCTTGTGCTGCGGGATGCTGTTGTGAGGCAAGACGATGCTACGACGAATGGGCGGAGGTTGTTCTCCCCGCGCCACAGCCACAAGATAACCGCGCGCCTCCGCGATCAACTTAACGATGGCAAATCCCTCCCTCTCATTCCAGAAGCGGAGGTCATCCACCCACAGCTTCGTTGCCGCCTCCATTCCTTCCCGCGTATTCCGCTGGCGCAGCCTGTTCACCAATGCCTCGTCGTCGTCCCCCTCCCCCGCGACATCGCCTGCCTTC